TCTGAGTTGTGACTAAGCTGAAAAAGCCTGGGAGAAACACACCTGTAATTTAAGAAGGAATCGTCGTGTAACTAAAATGATAAACAGTGTTTATAAAATATTAAAGCCACTCCTAGTCTCATTCCAGCTTTTCTAACTGCTTTAATAAACTTGAAAAGAAATAAGAATGGGAAAATAGTTTAACAAGAATCGTTTTAAATTAAAAGCAAGGCGTAACATCTTTAGTGGCTGTACAATTAAAGGGAAATTCATAGTTTCCCCATTTACCTGCCAGTAATTGTGTCATAGATTGTGTGATTGTATTAGACTTCCAGGTTTCTCCGGGACATTCGTTGGAATCTCAAACTTTTATTAAAACAAATGTAGGAAGTGTTTCAAACAAACACCAAAGACAAAGCAAACAAGAAGAGCAACGCCGAGTCCGGCGATTATCCACACCTCCAACTGAACTCCACTTGCAAAGCCGAACATCCCAGAGAACAGGAAGCTTCTACACAGCTGACCGAAAACGGAGCATCAAAGAGAATCATTCACACATTCGCTGCATGACACACCTAAGAGCTCAGAGCCTGGAAAAATAAAATCAGGATTTGTAAAAATAAGAACATCACCAATAAAAGAATGGAAAGTGGAGCTACTGCAACCTTAAGGCTCTTTGCACACGTGAACCTTGCTTCCTCGGCACTTTGCTTAAATATTGCATCTTCAGGTTATGCATGAGCACAGGTTGTGAGAAGATGCATATTGCCATGTTACTGATCTAATCCTGACACACATCTGTTGCAGGAAGGCTGTTACTAAATTGTTTCTTAGCGTTTTACTTTGAAATGTTCGGTTGCAGCAACTCGCCAGGTGGTCTGTTAAAATTTGACACCTGAATTCTTTTGTTTGCTTTCATTTCATCGTGTTCTAGTTCTTGTTAAGCCGATGTACGGCTGTTGGGTTCCTGTCCTGCTTTTGTGAGTTTCACTGCTTTATCATTAAAATAAAAACTCTACTACCTCAATATAGGTCAGATACAGTAGAGCAGCTGTCATAATTATAGACACCATTAGTGAGATGCAGAACACATCGACAACGTTAGTCATTATAAATCCGTTGTGACAAGGTGTCGCTCTGAGTTAGGATGGGGTGATGTAACAGTTTGCCCTCACAGGGTCGTCTTCTGGCGTTACACCCACCCCGTATTCCGTCTGCATGACCAACGTGGTGAAGAGCGTTATGTGACTGGAGTGCTTTAAGAACATTCCAGACAATGGTGTTTTCTGGCAATTAAGTACACTGATGATAACCATCTGTTGGTATAAAAGCAAGAAAAAACACTAATTATGTCAAGCCACGCTTTGACTCAAGACTGAGTTAGCCATATGGTACTTGCGCATACGGACTCTAAACTCTATTACCTGTTTGCTTGCTGTAAATAAGATCAGTTTTCACTAAGGCATCGACTCTACTCCCTCCTGCTCCTTTTGACTGCCCTTAAGTATTAGATTAAAAGACAGTTTACTGCTAAGTCCCTAAAATAGTGTTAGGTTTAATTAGAGACATAATTATTACACCGATTTTTTGTTTTATTTTACTGTTCTTACATTTTTGGAAATGCCAAAAACGACGAAAATATGCAAAATTTGAACTTTTAGCTGCTCCCTTCCTTATGACCTAAATTTTTTAAGGCAATGCTAAAACAGCAAAAACATTTTAAAATATTCTCTATGCAGAAACAGATCTATTCTTCTTCCAGCTCTTGGAGAGTTCAGACGCTTTTTTCCTCCTCTCCTCCCAATCTTATCCCAAGGCTCTTTGTCTGTCTTTGGGTGTACGGCGCTTCTGCATTTTTTTCTGGAAACTGGAAATTATTAAAATGGACCTGGTCAGTTGGTCTCTCAACGCGATTGACAAAATGTTTTCAACGATGAGAACGGGAGAAGGGGCTCCCGGTTGGCCTCCTGGGGGACAGAGCCAGCTGGGCATATCATGGACTCCTGGAAACAGTGGAACCTGATCAGCCTCTCTCAACTGTCTGTAGGGGATTCTGAAGATGTCTGGATATTCGCGGTGTTGTTGTCAGATTTCCTGCTGTTTGGCCTGAGGGGTTAACTGGCTTACCGGAAAATTTATGAGCTGTCGAGGAATACTGGCTCAATCCCAGAGCTCAGGGATTGATTACACCGCGCTGCGAATGCACAAACGCATATAATTGTCAAGGTGAGTCGTAAGCTTGGAACTTTGGCTGAGATTCAGACTCTGGCACAGAAAATTGATGCCATCAAGGATAGAGTTGACAGATCAGCACGGATTGGGATAGATGAATTACGCCATTATTGGATTCAGAGGGGTTGAGGACCAACGGAACTTTAAGACAGAGAGGAAATTTTCTCTGTCTGTCCCCAAAGCAAGTTCTTATCTGAATCTGGTGCCCTTGAGCCTGTGAGATTGAAGTGAATACTACCCCCTCAGAAGAAATGTGGAATGCTGCCGTTGCCATGACAACTCTTTCTCCCTATCCCAGCCTGGGCGGGACTGCGACCGGTGAAGGCCGTTGAATCGTTTCCAGGAGTCACTGTGCTCTCTAACCCAAATACCTCCCTCCCCTGTCCAAACGGAGGTCACGAGCGCTGCTTATCGTGGCTGCATGCACTGATGTGAGGATAGTCCCCAACCCTACCACCCCACCTAGTGGACACTTATGTTGTGTTGTCTGAAGTCTGTTGCATTTCTGTCTGAGGTGTTTTTTGCGTAGCAAAGCTGCCCTCCCTGTGGAGGGTAACTCTGAAGTGCCTTTTTTCCCTCCACCTGACCCAATCCTCATGTAAACCCTCTAATCTCTATTATGGTGGCGCGACTCGGGTTGCGAATGACCACAGTCACCAATTCTTGTCATGTGTCTTTGCCTATGTATGTATGTCCGATCTCAGAATTGTGTGTACTGAATGATTATTCGGTTTTGCTGATAACATTTTTATGACCAATATTTTTTATGCCTCTGAATGAGTCCCACGAATGGGACATGGCAAACTTCTACATCAAATATCCTTCTTTATTGCAACCACTTATTTTATCTACGTATTACAAATCATTTGAAATCTGGTATTCTTCTGATTCCAGAGATTTATGGCAATCAAGGATTCAACCATGAATGTAGACACAGTAAACGCTTTTGTCAAACATAATGTCCACCTCACCGTTCAAAGCCTCATATCATTGATAGAAAAGTATCATCTTTAACAATGATGGTCTTTTTACATCCAAGTACAAAATTACTCCAGTAAAACAATTGAACCACAACAATTCTTGCGTTCAATAACCAGCATGATAGGCAGTGGAAAACATTCACAAATTCCCTCAGATGCATCCCGTGTTGGCTTCAAACGTTTTAGTGACATCCTCACTATTGGCTGACAGGTCAGAAGGACCGCCCTCTATGATTACACATGTAGCACAAACTACTACAGCACAGTTTATAGTTGACGGACACAAAAAATAGCCAATGAAATTCATAAAGCAAACAAGTCCCCCGTGGAACCGTTGTGGTTTGCTTCTACAAACTAAGAATGATTGTGATTGGTGGAGAGCTCCATGCATGTGTATCAGGCCCACAGAACGTCTAAACGTTTCCTGCGCGAATATATCGACCATCGTTATTTTTGGACTGAATGTTGCTTGGAAAATCACCCAACCCATGATAATGACTATTAACCACAAATATTATATTTTAAAAAGTTCTAATGGGCAAAGATGCTGTATTTTGCATTCATATTACGGGAATTATGTCTTCTAAACCCCCTACCCTAACCCATGTTTAAACCAAAGCAGCACATGAAAATGATAAAAAATAAAAAATTAACTGCTTTAACCTTTTTCTAACTAAATCAATTCTAAAATTTTACTGCAGCAATGAAAAGAATGCAGATAATCCACCAGTAGCTTTAAATCTTAATCCCTGTTCCCTTCCTTCTACTGAGTATCTACTGCAATGTCAGGAATGCTTCTCAGTTTTCAAGCTCCTCAGTAAGTGTTGACGGAAGCTGAGGGACGATGACCGTGAAAGATGCTCGGCTATTACCAGACCTAGGTCTTTAGGAGGATTTTTACTCTGAGTGGACCCTAGTTGACCTCTAAATGTATCTTTGATAGTACTGATGGTAGTCTTACACCTTATTTTGCACCAACGCTCCCTAACTGTGTACTCTAAATCTACCAGAACCTTAAGCAACAATTTCCACTGAATGTTTTGAAGTGACATTTGCTATTGTAAGCTCTCAAGCACAACTATGATATGGCCTTGCTTCCTTACTTTTTTTTTATTGAAAAGAACAGGTAAGCTGCGCAGTGGTGCAGTGGTTAGAGCTGTTGCCTTGCAGCAAGAAGGTCCTGGGTTCGCTTCCCAGCCTGGTTTGCATGTTCTCCCTGTGCATGTGTGGGTTTTCTACAGGTACTCCAGCTTCCTCCCACAGTCCAAAAACATGACTGTTAGGTAAATTGGTCTGTCTAAATTGTCCTTAGGTGTGTGTGTGTGTGTGTGTGTGTGTGTGTGTGTGTGTGTGTGTGATTGTTTGTCCCGTGTGTCTGTGTGTTGCCCTGCGATGGACTGTCTCTCTGTCCAGGGTGTACCCTGCCTGATTAATCGTTGACCGCTGGAGATAGGCACCAGACCCCCCCCCCCCCCCCCCCCCCCCCCCCCCAATGACCCCTACATGGACAAGCGGGTTCAGAAGATGGATGGATGGATGGTAAATGAACGGGTTTAGACAAAGCCACAAAGACACTCTCCACACCCACTCCCCCCAATTCACACCAAGGGTACATTTTCCTCAGAAAGTTGCAAAGAACTTTCTTGAAAAGCAACAGCTATAAAAGGTCCGGCCCAAACGTCCCACAGGTTGTCCATAAACTTGTCCAGGGCTCATAGGTGAAAAGAGAAAACGCTCACAGCCAAGCAAAGGTGACACATACGCACCGTAACTCCTCTGGAAAAACTACAAAAGAAGAGCTTAACTCACACTCTTTCATCATGCCAATGTCAATGCAGCGTTTCAGGCGACAGGCTTGGCAGTGGCGCCGGTTGTCCTTCGTGATGGTGCAGCTTCCATTGAACGGACAGGTGAAGGAGGCTTTACGCTTCATGCTGCGCCTAAAGGAGCACAAAACCAACCTGTTCACAATCGCTCACTCTATGGGAGAGTTAACATGTTTGGAATAAACGAATAAAAGTATTTTTAGGCACTTGAATCATAAAGATCATGAGAACTAAAAATGTGAACCACACTGAAATATGCTACAGTTCAAATGACACAGAATGTTTTTAGTAATTATAACTCATTAAAAAATAAATAAGCAGGCAGAAAAGCAGCTGCCAATAAGGAAAACACCAGAGTATCCTTCTTAAATCCCTGTTCATTTAAATGAACAAACTCTTCATGAGCTAGTGTCAATAAATCCCTGACTTCATACATTTATGTTAAGTCTTTAGAAACTAAACGAGTGTAATAGGTGTGACCGAGTGAAACAAGAACAAAAAGGAAAGAATACAAGATTAACAACAATAATTTTAAATTAAGCAGAACAGGCATGTAAAACACGAACAATGTACCAACATTAAAAGGTCATGGACATAATCTCATTTTAAATACACAAGTTATAAAGAAGCATGACTGAGTAGCAGTTTATAACTGGTAAGCTTATATAGAATAAAATGTCTCTTTTAGTCTAAAGTAAACAAACAAACAAAAAGCAGACAGTTGGAGCCAAATACAACCTAAATGGAATAAAAGCAAACAATTTGCATACCATCTGTTCTGTACTATTTCTCTATGAATACCAAAACACAACAGATGCTAATAATTACATAGAGAAGAAAAGGCAGCTGTGTAAGGACACCACACACACACACACACACCTGAAGAAACCCTTGCAGCCTTCACAGGTCATGGCGTTGAAGTGAAAGCCGGTGGCTTTGTCCCCACACACTCCACAGATCCGTGGGGCATTACGGTCGAACTCATCCGGTCCAACCACTGACGTAGTCACCGTCATGGGCTCCATCACTGAGGAAGAAAAGAAATGAGACGCAGATTGAAGCCCGCGTGACACCTCCTGACCCGCCTCGTATTCTGAACTAATAAAAGTGGTGTGAAAGCAAAGAACTAGTGACAGAATACTGAAACTCTGCCTGTTTGTCTTTGTGTGCTAGGTGGTGTCCAGCGTGACTAAAACTGGGGGCTTTGCATTTTTCTCCTCTTATAAAAACAGGTGTTGGGCTATTAGCATATTTAGCAAAAGCCCCTGACGGCCACCATCTAGATCTAGCAGCTTTGGCTGAATCAGGGAAAGGTGTGCACACACACACACACACACACACACACACACACACAATCTAACAAACTGTGAAATTACAGTGTTATTGGGAGAATGATTTAATGACAGACAGAGGGTCACTTGCCAAATGCTGTGAAATGGCTAACACATTTATTACTGCCAGTTCTCTGCAGGGATTTTTTCCCCACACACACACACACACACACACACACACACACACACACACACACACACACACACACACACACACACACACACACACACACACACACACACACACACACACACACACCATCTGCCATACCCAATGAAATAAACAGGAGAAGAGTAACAGAAACCGACTGGGAACCATGAGTGAGCTAATCCATATCAATCTCTAAACACACCTATGTCTGAGGTCTGAAGAGATGAGCGGGACACAAAACTAGGAATGACGAAAATTTTATCTCTGGACATGCACAGAAACGTGTTGGTGGAGTCATTTTAGAAATGTTAGTAGTAGTTAAATAAACGGAGACGTGGTGGGAAGAGTTGAGAGTCATTATGCAAATAAAACTTGAAATAAATAATAGATGAAGCAGTCAAAATGTGTTTCAACGTTGCTTTTCTGGGATTATTGAGCGTTTGCAGGGAACCTATAGCTGTAGCATTACATGGAGAGGTCGTGTCCTTACATGGCCTCTCACATGACAACTAAACAGGACAAAGAAAGAAGGGGTAGGATGGTGCATAAAATAGAGTCTGGCAAAGCAGGAGTCACGTGGCTCCATAATGTAGCCTGTGGGTAGCCGACGTGCACGGAGGCTGTTCCTGGATTATGTCAAATAAGGACAAGGAGATGGGAGCAGCCAGTGGGGGTGGGTGCGTGAGAGCAAGAGGGAGGAAAATGAAAAGTGGAGAAGGTGAGAGGACAAGGGGGAGGATGAGACGAGCTGATTAAATTAGGTCGGGTTGGGAGCAGCTTGAAGAAAACCACCAAACTAAAACGCATGTGATGCAGACGTGTCTGGCTGTGAATCACCTGTCCCATTACTCAGAGAACACCAGCTAATTACCGCTGGAATATTTTAAAGCATGTTGACCGTCGCTGCACCAACTTTGCATATCGCTGATTTCAAGTTGTGTGTTTTGGAGGGCGAGGAGGGATTAAGCGGGGCAGATGTGCTCAAAAACACAAAACCAAATAAATAAAACCATCCACGATATGATTAAGTCATCGTGTAACAGTAATAGTCTTGTTTACTGCCGCATCAGGTGAATAATGAAATAAATGCAGATGGGGGAAAGGTTGGCCCAAAGAGCTCAACGAATTGGTAACAAATAAAAAAAACACATAAACAAGCTGGAGTTTGGTTACTAGAGCGGATTAAACACACCACCATCAGGCTCCAGGGTCGTCATTAACCAGCAGGGGTTCACTCCTTAACTAGTTCATTTCCCCCTCATCTGTTGCTTTATGTCACTTGTTTTTCATTCATCATTGCTTGCCACATAGTATTTTTAATTATTTATATGTGACATGATTTGCCGTATGGCTGCGCAGTGACACAGTGGTTAGAGCTGTTGCCTTGCAGGTCCTGGGTTCGCTTCCCGGCCTGGGGTCTCTCTGCATGGAACTTGCATGTTCTCCCTGTGCATGCGTGGGTTCTCTCCGGGTACTCCGGCTTCCTCCCACAGACCAAAGATATGACTGTTAGGTTAATTGGTCTGTCTAAATTGTCCTTAGGTGTGTGTGTGTGTGCATGATTGTTTGTCCTGTGTGTCTCTGTGTTGCCCTGCGATGGACTGGCTCTCTGTCCAGGGTGTACCCCGCCCTATTGCCCATCGACCGCTGGAGATAAGCACCATCCCCACGCGTGTGACCCCACGTGGGCAAAGCGGGCTCTGACAATGGATGGATGGATGGATGGATGATTTACCGTAGAAAAATGAAGAAGTTATGCAGTTACTTTTTCTTCATTATTTTTTCTTTTATCAGAACATAACTATCTTTGTCCCATTGAAAAGAACAACAGCTGGTTATTAGGATTCACAGCTATTCACAGCTACTGCAGATATTTCAACGTGCATAATTGTCTGAGTGTATTAAACTCAATATTAATCATTTTGGTAGTGGCAACTAACCCAGAGATGTTTTATTTTTGTCATTCGGCTTGTACTTATTACATTTCAGAATTATTTGCTACGGGAATATGACATCTACTCTATGGCAACACTAAAAAATGATTTGGAAGAGCCAAGGAAGGCAAAGTTTTAGAACAGAACAGCCCCACTTGAAATATTACGATAGTTGTGTTGAATGTATTGATATTATAATTTTAGTATTTTAAAGTGTATTTTAACCCTAATTTACATGCAAGCATTAAGTTACAGTAAAGTTAAATTATGGGCCATTCCCATCTGTACTTGGTCGGATAGCATAGCTTGCTTACATATCTTGGTGGCCTGCCTTTTTTCAGGGTGCAACGAGACTGTTTTTCAGCCCAATTTCTGAGGTGGTCTGCTTCAGGCTGACCAGGGCCAACACACCCACTGCTGACTGATAAGCCGGCTTATCAGTCAGCAAATTCACACCTTCCATTAGAGCAAAACTCTGATTGGTGGGTAGAATCAGCCCACATGGGCTTAAGGCATGCTCAATTCATTATCATTCATTATCATGGTGATTACCTAGAAGCTGAAAATGTCTCTGACTGCATTCCTTGCATACCTAAGCAAGGATGTGTGGAATCAACCGGGCAAGGCTGGGGCCGACTGGAGCTATGTGGGCAGGGCCGACCAGGTACAGATGGCCCATTAAAAGTCCCTTTAGTTGTTAGCCTAGTGAACTAGACCAAAATCTTGCTTTGCAAAGTTTGGTCTAGGAACGCTCCACTGGAACCTCTGCAGCCCCAACAGCATTCTGGCTGGCCAATCACAGCTCTCTAGAGGGGTTTCAAACACATAAAGAGCTCCATGCTTTCGTTCTTTTTTAAACACAGAAACAGTTTTGTTTACCTGTTTGTAGCTACGGTTTCGCCGGCAGCTGTCGGCGAAACCGTAGCTACAAACAGGTAAACAAAACTGTTTCTGTGTTTAAAAAAGAACGAAAGCATGGATTTACAAAGACACAGCAAGAACACACCTAAGACATAAAGAGCTGTGATTGGTCCATAATGGTGGGCCAATCATAGTGCTCCATCTGCTTAGTGAACAAATCACAGAGCTTTATCCACTTTGTGGGCCAATCAGGGCACTCTATATGCCTGGTGGGTGGGATGATGCAACAGAGTATGTCACATTCATTGTCCAGTAGCGTGCGGAGATCATTTGAAAGACAACGGTGGAACCCGCCCCACAACCGAGAGCCGTCAATGGAGCGTTGCCAGACTAAATAATACATTTATTTAGTCTGGCTTGCCAGACTATTAAGTTGTAACACTGGTGTGTGAAATTTGTTCTCGGGATTTGATCCATCCCCTGGGAGAGCAGTGAGCTGCAGACACGGATGTGCTCGGGAAATATTTTTGAGGGTTTAACCTCCAATCAAACCACTTAAAGTGTCAAGCAGGGAGGCATTGGGTCCCATTTTTTATTGTCTTTGGTGTTACCCGACCATTATCCCAGTCTCAGGTCGGACACTGGTCAGTGGCGTTTACAGTACTTCTTTTGTTGGGTGCAATTAAAACTCTGACTGCTAGGTGGCAGAAGAGTTTATATATACACCAATGCACCATTTCTAGGAACTAGAAGTTACCCACATCACAGCTGAGCTTCAGAGTTCAGGTTTTGAGTCTTATTTCCTGATATTTGGACATCTTTCCTCGGCTTGGATAACAGTGACTCTACCACTGACTTGGAATGTGGACGTTTTATTTCCACAAATAACTCAAACAAGGAGGAGCTTTGTCAAACAGTCATCAGTCAAGACTGGTGAGTCCATGAATGTTAAGTGACAGTGTGACATAGATCTGTCAGGCTTTTCAAATCCTAATGTTTCACTGTCATTTTCAGTCAGAAGCTAATGCAGGAGGTAGGTGTAGGAGACTATTTTCATGTTCTGCCAGCATGTTAAACTCAGTGTGACTCATTATAATCAGAAATAATCATTTTTAAAAAGGGTTTTCAGTGTCCCACACCTTATCCAGCCAGTCAGGTTTCAAACTCAATCTTCATTTCAGCGTGCTGAGTTCAGACTTTTAATCTGTTTACTGAATTGATGGATTCACCAGTAACTGACACATAAAAAACAACCGTTCCAAAGGGAACAATTGACTGGCCAGTCACAACCTTAGACCATGCAGGGCTTAAATAAGATTTTTTGTTTAGTTTTTTACTTTTGTTTATCAGTTTTCAACAAAAATTAAGTTGAGTTCATTTTTGTTAACAAGGTTTAATCAGTAAAGGTGTTTTTGGGGTAAAACAAAGGCCTAATCCAACACAAGTGTTTCTGAGGAATTCCAAACAACCCCAACCAGCTGCTGGACTACGGCTCCATTGATGACGCTGACCTCTGAACTCCCAGCGGAGACAGCAAGAAACAAAGATCCCTTTTCCCATGAGGGAGCAATAAACCATCACCCATTTCTTAGAAGGATGACCCCTTCTGATTAAATCTTTGTTTACTCAATCGAAAAGGTCTGACGTGTTTCTGTCCCACACTGACAACAGAAAGAGTTTTGGCTAGGATGCGTTAGAAAAGACGCAACAAACAAAGGTAGCGAGGAATGCATAAATATGCATTGAAACCATGTCCTTATTCACATAACTTTTCTACTGAAACCACAGATGTCTTTGTGTGTGACTAGATGAGCAACATCAAGGAATCTGAGAAGTCGAAATCAGGTATCTTCAGTTCTTTTGCTCTTAAAGTAGTGCTTACTCTCTAAGAACTTGATAATTGAAATTTTGAGAAAAATTGGGATATCAAAATGAATCTACAGGTGATACAACAGAAAATGAGGTCCATTTTTACCAGTTAACTAAAATATATATAGAATTTATGTCCTCGACAGGACGATAAAGACTGCAGAGATCAGTGAGAAAAGCAGGTAAAGTCTGAGTGCCTGAAATACGTTGGCCAAAGAATATAATGATTATTGTTAAACTATTCTTATATTTGCTTACAGGATGTGTGTGAGAACTCATGAGTAAGAAGAGCGAGAACCGAGGACCTCATTTCATTCACATCCTGGCTTCTGCTGAACTTTTGTGCAACTATTTATTTCTTGTGTGTTTTCATGGAAGTTGTGCTTTTCTGTGAGTAGATAATTGAAAATAGAACAGAATGCAAAAAAACTGTCAAATATTGCAAAATAAATGTTCTGTTTAATTTTTGCTCTTCCAAGTAATACAGCCACAACCTAGCCGCTGAACTTTTAATGCATTTTTAGGATGCAATATATAATTCTCAGAAATCTAGGACTATTGTATAAAGTTTTACTTATCTCTACAAACTCGTTTTCAAATTCGTGATGTTTTGTAATCCCACACTTTTCACTCTTGTGCCTCACTTCACACGTGTATCAGAACAAGTAAAGATGACAGCATGGGGGGGAAACACACCAGTTAGCAACATGGCATCCAGCAATATTTTCTACATCGTTCCATGTCTGTGCGTTGACCCTACTAAAAGAGGCTTTTAATTTGAATCTGGGCACCGATAGTCCTAAATTGTGAAGTCTGATAAGATATTTGCATTAAAGCAAATTTGTGTGATTTCAGAAATACAAGAATTTTCTTTATAACCTTTAAATGTAAATCCTAACTACCCCCACTAACCAAATAACAAACCAAATCCTACTCACCATTTGCTTAGTAATAAAGCCAGGGTGTCGGGTTGCTCGTTTGGTTAAGTTTACTACACCTCTATAAAGCCTGAAAGTCCTTTTAGCAGCAGGTCCTGATTTGCAGCCGGGCTACGTTTCCACACAAAGCCACCCACCTTTTTTCCCCTCTACCGTCATGTCAGCCTTCACTGTTAGATCAACAAATCAAGGGTAATTACTAGAAAAGCATGTTGAAACCCCAAGTAAAGTATATCCTGAGACTTGCGAATACACAAATTTCAAACACAAATGTTTACTTTTAATATGGCTTGTGCAGAATATAATATTTTATACCGACATGAGTCAGGTTCTGTTTAAACAGAGGAGGCTATCTTTAGAAGTGTCAGTCCCATGCCATTTTATTTTTGTGAGCTCCTTAAATCCTCCGCATCAAAGGTATATTTAGAAATCCCACAGCAGAGGCTCCATGTGAGCAAACCACTCTGGGTCCACAGCAGAAGCTGAGACATTAGATCAAAGTCGAGATGCCTAAAATGAATTTCAGGATAAGGAATTACATAAATGTGATCTTCCTACCAGCATAAAATGTCTAATCTCAAAACGGAGGTGTAAAGAAATGAGGATTGCAATTAGGGATGTTCTGACCACGCGTTTTTGCTCCCGATCCGAGTCTCAGTCATTTGATTCTACGAATCTGCCGATACCAAGTCCCGATATGATAGTTTAAAAATCCATTAGGAAAAAAGGACACACTAGAGTTGTCCTTTAAGTTTATTAATGTGTTTCTTTCATCCAGAATGTGTTGTTTCTTTCGTTTATCTGCCACAAAACATTATTCATTCAGAAACATGTTAAATTAAGAATTTACATACAAGTAATTTGGGGATTATATTCAAAAGAAACGTGTCAAGAATATATGTATAGGTGGGTAGCCTGTCGTTCATATTCTAATTCGTTTACGTGCGCAAATGTTTTGAGCAACGTGCGTTCCAGTGATAGAAATGGCACAGCACATGACGGTCAGCAGCAGGGTCACACTTTTCTACAAAACATCCATAGCGCTGCTGTGTCTATAAAGTTGGGAAGAGAAAGCAGATCATTCCACGACTCAAGGAGGTTGCAAAACCCAACGCTTGCAACACCAGACACTCATCCAGAGTGATAAATATACTGCTATCTTGGCATTTTTGCTGTCCGCAGACAGCTTCTTGCTTTTTTTTTATCTTGAAGTGTCGGCTGGCTTATTCGAATTGTTGCAGCAAAATGCGCAGTTTGTTTTTTTAAAGTGGCACGTCAGATTCGTATTGTTGAATGCAGCACTACCTTTTCCACCACGTTGAATACCCAGTTTGCACACATTTCACTTGTATTACACTGCCTTTGCTTTCAGTTTTAAAACTACACCCAAATACAGGCATTTGCTCTGCATTAGCCTGTTAGCTAACAGCTACATGTCATGGTGTTTGAATTCTAAGGCTGCAACAAACGATTATTTGGATCATCGATTAATCGAATGGGGTCTCGACTCAATTAATCGGATTAATCAGGATTTTTTTTAAACTGCTAGGGAAACATTTTTTTCCTCTCCTTCGTTTACTTTATTTAACAACAGACAATGATTAGAAAACAGCTGAATAGCATTAAATGCTAAAATGAAATGGTGGCATTTCTATTATGTACATGTTGCAATAATCCAGGTTAAATTCTGTTCAAAGATAGACGCGTTTGTGAATTACATGCTACAGTGGCTTGCCACAATCCTGCAGCGCTGTTGTGCAGAGCAGACTCGAAGCAGCAACCTGACTGCAGCGGTTCTGCCAAGAATAAACAGGATGGTGGGGACACGTCCAGCCTACTACCCGCTAGCATTAGCTATACTGGCCGTAGTTGCACTTTTCATCCCAAACTTTGGACTGTTTCTGCCTTTGTGTCTTCGTTGGTTTCTGTTTTCCTCCAAAGCCTCTAGATTAGAACATTGTATGCCAGTAAAAAGCAACTTCCTTACACTAAAACAAGCAGCTTACTGTTGTTTTATAAAGTTCCGGGGAAAAAGAGAAACTTGTCACACTAGTGCTACGTCTAAAAATAGTTTATTGCTCAGACACTTTTTTTTTTCATCGTACAGTCCTGGCTTACGATTTTAATAAATCCGGACCTAGGGGTGAATTACTCTTTAAAAATTAACATAGCCACTGTCAATCCATCTGAAAATCTCTTTTTTAGGATAAATTTAAAAAGTCATGTTTGTTGTTTGATATGTTTAAATGTGATCCTTCCCACCCAATTCTGGCGTGTAAACAAAATCATGTGATCAGATCCAATTTACGATCATGTGATTGGATCTAATACAATACAATTAAATGTGTGCAACTATTAAATAAAATGTTAGTGTAGTCCCAAGCGTGATTAGAAAGGCAGTGATGTAACACAACAAGCAAGTATAACAAATAATTAAAACCAGGATATTTTTAATAAGCAATAATGTAACGTAATTACCTTTCAACCATGAGCGTTGACAGTTAACACGAACGGATTATTGCAGAAAACCATAATCTCAGGCTTAAGTGGGTAAACAAAGGTCTAAAGACACCAAATTCATCACTGTCTAAATAGATGAGCACACACTGAAAGAATGAGCCTGAAGCCACAAAAACAACTGAGGTTGTTTTGAGCAGGCATCTGCGTTTTTGTGTCTGCCAGATCTGTTTGAAGGATATGAAAGGAGAGTAGCAGTTGGCTGTAGATGTGTAGCACACAGAGCAATCAATCTGATTGGTCGGTGTGTGTCACACCCCCAGACACATGCCCTGGTACACAAAGAAATAGAAAGTAAGCTGTTTGGACAAATTGTTCAAAAACAAAACTGAAAGAAATAATTACTGATATCAACAACGTTAATATTTAACTAAACGATTTCAAATGGAGTTTAATTTGTACACATAGAAATACAGAATGTCCCGTAGATGTTTTCATATATGATCTGGATGTTTTGGTTTTAGATGATACAGATTTTCTGATACATCAACCATTTGCAGGTTTCTGACTTCATTAAAGCAGCAATCCGAAACCATGTTGTGTCAGGAAATAAATACGTACGATTATTAAGAATTCATAAAAGTGATGGTCTTACCCTGTAGAAATGTAAGCAATGTCAATTTTATTCTTGCTGAGCCCGCCCCCCGTCCCATAAAAACCCATGCAGTGTTATTTTACGCTGCTCAGGATTGGCCAAAAGCTTCTGACGTTCGCTTATGTCAATCACAGAGCGTAGGCGTGTTTGCGTAAGTACCTAGACTCATAGGGACAAGTAAGTCTTTAAAAAATAAAACTATGTGAATAAAAAAAAATCCATGAATAAACAACATAATGTGAGAATATTCATTGTAAAACAATGTATTTGAGCTTGATTGGCTGGCTAGGGGTGTGTTAGGGGTGTGTATTCGGGAATGAGAGGCGCTGCTTCCGGCCGTAATCATGTAAGACAAGGGGCTTACGGTGTAATACATTTTTCTGCCTCTAGATGATGCCTTCAGAGAAAAATCTCCAGGGTTCTTCTTTAGTTAACAAATGTATTAAATGTAAATAAAAAAAATACTAACCTGTTTTCCCAGTTTGCCATTGCTTATTTCTGTTGTTTACGGTATGATGTTTTCAGTCTTGAAACGTTTTTATTCTTTAACATTTTTCAATGGTTTTTGAGCTTGTATTGTGAAATTCATGTACCATTTCTGTGACTAAGTAGCGATGTTGTGTTGTGTTTTTGTGTAATGTTATGTTATAGTATGTTATGTTATGCTGATAGGGCAGCGGTAGCTCAGGAAGTAGAACAGGTCATCCGCTAATCCGAGGGTTGCCAGATGAATTCCAGCTCACTCCTGGGAATTCTGTTGGGTCCGCAAGACACCTAACTTAACTTGCTTATAGGGTTGTCACGGTAACCGGTATAGCGGTAAACCCCGGTAAAAAAGTTGACAATAAAAATAACCGTCCAGTTTTTTAAAAACTAAATTATCTCGGTGGGTTTACCGTGGCAGCGGTTTCGGCGTGGTGACCCTTACCAGCCACCGTCGCTTCAGCTGAAGTTCCCGCGGCGCGCACACGCACAGTTTAGTTTGCAACGGCACCAAAACTTTGAAGCTGAAATAATGGCCGAAGGACGAGACGGCAACGCCCAGGACATCCATCAGCCCTCAAAGAAGACTAAATGGGAAGTATGGGCATATTTTGGATTTCTGAAAAATGCTGAGGGACAGTTAATATGACGGCTATCCCGTTTGCAGAACGTGCAGGAAACAAGTGTCTGCAAAAGGCAGCAACACTTCGAATCAAATGGCACATCTGCGTGACCATCACCCACGTCTCTACAGCCAGTGCAAGGTAAGTTAACATTAGCATTTTAGCTGAAATGCATGACGTGAGGACTTTTGGCTGAGGGAGAATGCAACGAGTCACTATATACTGCAGCCGCAGCGTCCTCTGCCAGCATTTAAACCGTGTCACGGACACCCTGTTGCTGGATGAAGCATCTTATTTGTTGATGATGAAGAGAAATATACAATGAGTTCCTTGTCATTGATTTGTTTACTTATTCAATGCCATTTATACTTGAACATTTGGATTTGATTACATAGTGTAGTAGTTATTTTAGTAATTTGTTTAAAGTGGCTATTTATTTTAAATACATATTTTTAAGGTTGACTTGTACAGCGCTCAAGTCAAGTGTGGACTGGAGTTTTAGATTTTCATTTTGATAATGAAGAAAACAAGTATATGAGAAAAAAAGTGGTGTTTCTTTGATTTGTTTACATATTGTTTATGTTTTGAATGTTTGGATTTGTATAATTTAAACCTGCACTGACTACTGTAACATGTTCCAGAAAAATAAGCTATTTGTTCCTTTACTTGTGAAAAGTTGCACTTTTGCTAAGGCTTTGTGTTATTTTAGGTTTAATAAACACTGTTAAACCTTTTCAGAACTATTTCAGTTTGTGTAGAACAGGACTATCAATGTTTTCTGAACATATGCAACACCGTTTAAAAAATACCGCGATAATACCGAAAACCGTGATAATTTTGGTCACAATAACCGTGAGGTTAAATTTTCATACCATGACAACCCTAGTTGCTTATGCTGGTGATGG